AGCTGCCAAATATATTGCAGTTCCACTTATGTTCCCTATACACCAAATATCTGTCAAAGACTTTGCAGGTGAAGTTGGAAACCAAAATCCAGGAGCCGCAGGTGCAAGAACAGATATTGCTTTAACAACTGCAATGAAACATGCAGATACTATGTTTGTACTGTTCAGACGAACTATAAATGACTATTCTTGTTTCTACAACCCTGGTATTAAATATCATATAAACATAGATGGCAAATATTATCCAAGAGAAGAATATTCTACAGTTGAGGATATGAGGTCATACAACTTGACATTAGATGCTATGAACTTTAACAACAACTTCACAACAACTATTAACCCTGAAATGCAAAGTTCTATTATGCCATATGTGAAAGTATGGACTCATACAGGAGGTCAAAAAACTCAATATACAAATGGAGACCGTTCAAACTTTTGGCTTGGCATTCCATTTGCTGACTCAGAAGACTTTATGGGTAGTATTTCAACTGTTGGTACAGTTCAAATACAATATACTGGTGACAGAGACGGTCCAGATGAATTGAGAGCAAAGAAGTTTACAAAACCAATAGCACTTTTCACGGAAGATGCTCTTTTGAAGATTCGTTCGATGAAACCTGCTGGGGCTCCTCAGATTGGCATAACGACAGCTTCCATCGAGCAGATTTTGGCAGCAGGTCAGTAAGTTGTTCTTGAACTGACTTCTCTCCGTCAAATATTGACAGTACGCCAGTTTTGACATAATATTGTATTATAAACTTTCCTTTAGTAATATCTGTAAGTTTTGAAGTTATATTTTTGTCTGCTTCAAGAACTTTCACCATTTCAGTTATACCAACTTTCTTTGCTTTATGAAAATATTTAGGTTCAGCAAAGACTGCTATTCTATAACATTTTCCATTGTTTGTGTAAAGAACTATTCTGTCAATGTATTTGTATTGTTTGTGAGTATAAACTTTGTTCTGCTTCAATTCAATAAGATATCCGAATACGTCCATCTTTTTATTCTAAGTAAAATGTCATTTCCGAAAAATAGAAGCGTAAGTGTTTCAAAAGGTTTAATGGCGGTGGCAGATGTTAAGTTAAATTCACCAACCCAAACAAACAGTCAAAGTGTTATTGTCAATGTCAAAGACAGAGATGTTGAAGTGGGGAAACCATACGAAGACGAAGATGGTATAACAATTGTTCCTGTAAAAGAACCTATCCTGAAGTTAACAGAGACTTAAGTTCTGTTGCAGATATTCGAAACGACTACCAACAACTGAAAGACTTCAAACTCAGGAGAATTTGTCAAGCTTTAAGTATAATGTTAAACTTGGGCGAACACAACCCTGTAAAAGTGAACTCATATGTCATTGCACCTCATGAAGTTTTGAAAGAACTATTGAAACTTTTGACAGAGGCAGACGATATAAACATCAAAGAAATAGAACCCGACATTGGTTGCTGTGGTGTTTCATATAATGTCATTGACAAGATATACGTTATGAAAGGAGGTGAAACGTTGAACTTAAAATATAGTTTCCCAGACGTTATAAAAATATTTGACGACCACAACATTTCATTAAAGTTTATTTGCTAAGTAAATGGCAGAAGACATAATGGTTTATACTATTACGACTAAAAACCCTGAGTCATATAATTCTATAACAACAAACTTACAAAGTCCTCAAGGACGATATTGTAAACTAACCTTAAACACAATGACGACTAAAGCCTGTTTTGCTCTTTTGACACCAGAAGACTTTATTGTTGTGAATGGTAAAAAATACTCCTTTGAAGATACTTACTCAGATATACCACCAACAGGTTTTGTTGACTTATTTAATACTTTAAGTACGGGTGTAACATGTGCTGCAACTAGAGCAGGTTTCATTATGTTTGGATGTCCGACTGAGTTTACTATAAACGATATGAGCTATAATACAAAACTTATTTCTGGTTTTTACTACCAACAGTTTCCTATAACAGGAAAAGGTGTCATACAAGGAATGTCTATTCCATTGACATTAAGCACACCAATCTTATATATTGTTTCAAACTTAGGTTCAAAGTGTTATTCGAATGTCGACAGAAACTATTATGACCAAAAGATACTTATGCGTATAAACAATACTTTCTCTGCTGGTTTGCCTATTGTTCATTCGAATGCAGAATTTTCAACCTTAGTGAACTCAAACACTTTGGCAAGTATAACGTTGACATTAGTTGACGCAAACTTTGTTCCTGTAAAACTTTTATGTCCTATGTATTTGTCAATGACGGCAGAAAGTTTCGAATTGGAAGATGCAACTGGTGAAAGTATTGTATTACAAGAACAACTTCAACAACAAATAGCTCAAGAACAACAAATGCAACAAATGGAACAACAAAGTCAAGAATAAAAAAATAATATTTTTTTTATTTTTATAAAAATGTACAGAATAGATGTTTCAGATTTTTATGACTTCCAAGCATTCAGAAATATGTGTCCATTTAGAGACTATAACAAAGCAGTCGAGAATTTGAAACGTTTAGTCATTTATGTTGACTCTGCCCCAGAATGTTATGTCATGAAAGAATGGGATGTTGTCTTTAACAAACCAAGAGCAACAATAGTGTCTGAACAAGAATGTAGACAGAAACTTAAGAAAATAAAAGTTGTACAAGTTGGCATGAAGATGTTAGATGCTTGGGATATCTTATTGTCAAAGTTAGAAGATTTTTCAGTTCGAGGTATAAAGTTCTATACACCTTCTCCAAACTTCTATTCTATCTTCACTGGATATAAATACGAACAAGTAGAATGGAAACACAGTATTATAGAAGCTTGGTTAGACCATGTCAAAGAAATTATATGCAATGGAAACGAAAAGGTTTATGAGTATATCTTATGTTGGTTTGCAAATATCTTACAACATCCAAGTGCTAAAAATGAAACTGCTCTCATTATAATTGGAAAACAAGGAACTGGTAAGAATACTTTCTTTACAGATATTTTGTGCAAACTGTTAGAAGGTTATTCGAATCCGAATATGACAAACTTAGAAAACATCTGTGGCAAGTTTAACTCCTCAATAGAGAATATGAAACTTATAGTTTGCAATGAACTTCAAAGTATAGATACAACAAAAGTTTTGAACTCAGATGCTTTGAAGAGTCTTATAACAGACAAAGTTGGAGTTGTTGAAAGAAAGTATAAAGACCAAAGAGTTTGTGAAAATGTTGCAAACTTCATTATGGTTTCAAACAATGCTGTTCCGATGCAGTTAGAAAGTTCTGACAGAAGATATGTAGTTGTCAGAACGTCAGAAGCTCATATGCAAGATACTGAATATTTTGACGCTTTGTCAGAATGTTTGACATCTGACTTTTACAACCACTTGTTCTCATATTTCATGACATTAGATATTTCTAAGTTCAATCCAAGACAAATTCCACATACCGAAGAGAGACAAACATTGTTAGAAGCAAACAAGAGTGTTTATGAACTGTTCGTAGATGAAACTGACTTTGTGTCATTAGATGAAAGGTCATTGTACGATTCGTATAAACAATATTGTCAAGAGTATGGTTATATGCCAGCGTCTAAACGAACATTCTTGGCAAATGTCAAAAGTCTTTTAGATGTTCAGAATGGTGTATATACAAAGAAAATTTTTTCTGAGTAAATTTTAAAAAAAAATATTTTTTATCCGATAGAAAAGATGACGAAATAGATTTCAGTAAACAAGTACATGTCAGGAGTTAAAGAAGAACTAGACCCATTCACATATTTGAATGTTTATTTCTACCATTTTGAAAAGTCTTCATTCAGCAAAGTTTGGAACATCGAACCAGTTAAGTTTGCTATTGTGACTAAAATGGTGCGAAATTTGAAGACTTAGACATAGAAGGTTTGTTAGCAGTCAAAGAAAGTTTTGACAGAAGGTTCTCAAACCTTAAAGAAGGCAAAGCATACAAACTTGTTATACCTTATGAACCAAAGAAGACAGACGACTATGAATATTATGAGTCTAAAGTTGTAGAAGTTCAAGGTAAATTGGGTAAAAAGCTATTAGAGTCTAAGCCAGTGTTTACTCCTAAAGAGGAAGAGAACATTGACATTGACCCAGAAATGTTCTAAAAATAAAATTTTATTTTTACATGTCAAATTTCTTCTTCGGTGGAATTGGCTCTGGTTCTTTCTTCTCTTCTTCTACTTTCTTTTCTTTCTTTTCTTTCTTCTTCTTCTCTGGTGGAGATATGTCAAATTTCTCAGAACCATATCTATGTAAAAGTTCTTTGTCCTTTAATAGCTCTTCTATTCTGTTTTCTATTTCATCTTCAAGAACAGCGCATGTGTCTTCTTTGCATTCTAAGAACTTTTGTTGGACTTCATCTTTCCAATCGGCGTCATCTCTGTCAACAAGTCTGTCATTGACAAATTTTAAGACTGCTCTTTGTAATGTTTTATGGTTCTTGTCATATTCCCAGAAACAGAACTTTAGAACAAATTCACCTTTCTTGTTTACATTATGTAAGGTTTTATGGTCTACAGATGTTTTGCTGTCGAAAAGCTTGTCTCGAATATAGATAGCGAAATCGCTAGACATTTTCTAAAAGATAAAAATTTTAATTTTTCTAAAAATATGTTAGAAAAAAGTTTGCTGACATTGACAAGAAATTTGAGAATGTTTTAAACAAGAACAAGAGGAAGTTAGAAAATGCTCAGATAAAGCCTATACATGAAAAGTTCTTATTTGCTCAGAATGGTATAACAGGTCTAATTGCACCACCTGGGTCGGGTAAGACTTTCACTTATCTTAAAATGGCTGCACAACAACAAGAACTAGATGAGAAGAACCCATTTTATGAGTTAGTTGTTATTTGTAGTACTTCTGGTCAATTTGACCAAACCGTCAATTCGTTCAAAGATATTATAAAGAAGTCTAAGTTAGTATGTATAAAGGATACTGAGTTGTTAGATTGGATAAAGAAGTACCAAAGAAGAGTTTTGAAGTATAATGCTATAAATGAGTATATAAATTCGAAGTTTAAAGAACCTAATGAGGAAATGCAGAGAATATTAGACAAACACCACTTCAGAAACAAACAGAAAGAGATAGAATACATTTCGAAGAAATTGCAATCTTACGATTGGAAGACTTACCCTCATAGATGTCTTCTTATCTTAGATGATTTCGCCTCTCATCCTTTGTTAAAGAACAGAGAACAAGATATGTGTCGAATTCTTAAGAAGCTCAGACACTTTAACATCTCAGTTGTCATTTGTGTACAGACAGCAAAGAGTTTAAGTAAGGATGTTAAAAGAATACTTACTGACATAATACTTTTCCCCAGATTGTCCGAAGACGATTTCATGGAACTTATGAAAGAGTCCATGGCAGGTAAGTTTGACAGACACCAATGAAAAAAATAAAATGATATTTATTTTAAATATATAAGATCCTTATATAAAATATAAATATTTTATCGTTTTATTTTCTTGTTTTAGAAATGTTTTTTATTGAAAAATCAATAAAACTAACTCCAAAATAAAATTTTTGATTTAAAGACACTATGATGACACCAGGCAAATCTTCCAAGACACCTATCGTCGGGAATCTAACAACTCTATCAGCAGACAAATAATTGATTGAGGTGATATAAAAATTGAATTTAATTCAATGATCAAACCGACCCATTTGTATCTCAAAAATATAATTTTTTCTATGTCAGAGTTTTGATCCCTTTAGGAATCTTACATATACAGCCTTAATTTTCAAGATTTAATAATTATTGCTCAATGATGTAAAACCGATTCAGAAATTAATATTAGAGTGTCAGAGTATGTTTATTTGCGATCTTTTCTCATTACTAGTAAGTTGTTCATTTCTTGTAGCCCTAGAAATTTATTCTTATAATCCAGAATTTGCTTTATTCGGATATGAAACTCCGGATTGGACACCGGCATCATTCTTTAAAGTTAAGCGCAAAATTGATGTGCCTCTAGAAAAAAATTGGCCAGTATTACGATATATAAATGAAACAATAGAAGATCCTACGCAATACCATTTCTCATATAGAAAACCGAAAGAAACACACGACTACAACTTTTATTACAAGACACTTCAGACTACACACTATAGACTTGAAAGAGCATATGTTAGCTTTAATGGTGCTGTAGGTCTTGATGAAAACACCATTTTCCAACCAACAGATTTTGAAAGGAACGCTACAAATGCAAGTGTTGTAGGCCATTACCGCGAGGTTATTGTTACAGGATATTTATGGGCAACATATAATTTTGGCCATTCATTTGAAGATTTTTTCACTCCACTATTTTTAATTCCTGAAGAAATTAGAAGGAGATCACATATTATTGTATTCTCAATGCCATTTCTCTATAATACACTCCTGGATCTTCTAGGCTTTTTACCAGATCGAAGAATATATTTACCAAAAAATAAAGGTGAATATATTTCGGCTGATATACTCCATTGTTTTGCAAATAGAACCTTTTACATCAGTCAATGGGGGCCAAACACTTACAGATTTAAACGGTTCTTGCATGAAAAATTCGAATTAGATAAAATTACACCATCTGAATACTGCTTTACAAACAGGCCTAAAGGCAAGAGAAGGCATATTCATAATCTTGATGAAGTAATAAATTCAGCAAAAGCAAAGTTCCCAACAATTGATTGGAAATTTATTCCAGATAATCATACAAATCTTATTGAATGCGCCAGGGATTTCAAAAAGATTAAGTTTCTTTTCTCTCCTGTAGGTTCAAACATTTGTAAATGCATTTTTATGGCCGACAATACTGTTGTTATATGCGTTACAGCGAATTTCCCTGAAAATTCTCTGGCAGGTTTCTGTTTAAGTTGTAAATTATTTGAGTTACAATATGATTCAATCTCTGCTCATCATTTAGAATATGGTTCACCAATTAATGTGAACGATGCATTATTCCATATAGAAAAATGTTTGAAAGTATTAGAAACTGGAAATTGGAACGTATATAAATAATAAGAATATTAAAATTAATTTTGAAAATAATCTATTTAAAGTCGATTTATATTCAATTTTTTGAATAAATTCAAAATCGACTCGTAATCCAATAGTTGACAATTTGTAATATCTTTAAAATAGACGCATTATTCATATGGCGCAATGAAATAAAAAAATCAAAATGTGTAAAGCATATTTTGAATATACTTACTATGCAATTTCATACCAGTCTCTATTAAGTTATCGATATTACAATAAATAAGAAAATGATTGTTGAAGTTCTGTGTAGCTGTCAATGTTACATTTGATAAAAAAAATTAAAACATAAATTGAGTATAGCAAGCATTAATCCATTACTTCTAACTTTTTTAACAATTTGATGAAGTTTTAAGAACGACGATATATCTTGTTTGGCCAATTGTACAATTGCTACTTAATTCTGATTAAATTATAAAACATAATCTACATACAAAAATATAGTAATGCAATAATCTCGGGAACATGGCTCTCAATTTTGAATAGTTTACGAATTTCTCAAATAAAATTGAGGGGATTATGTTCCCGAGATTTTTGCAAAAACAGTTTTTTAAAAAGTTCTATAAATTCTTTTACAAAACAATATAACAATATGTATATCTTCAATATTTAGGTCAGGTAAGTGGGGCTTCCAGGCGCGTTGCGCCCTCTAGCCCCGAAGATGTTTAGTATAAATGAAGTTTTTATTCGGAAAATTGTTAGTCTTCTGGTGTGAATTCGGAGGACTCTTCTTGGATAGAGTCTTGTATTTCCTCCTCTTCTTCCTCCTCCATTGCTTCTGGGAAGAAGCCTTCTTCTGGGTCGAAAACATTATATAATGTGTAATTGAATGACACATTATATCTTTCTTTGAGTTCGCTCCTGACAAAGAACTTAGTTCCAGGAATACAGAAGACTTCTGTGCGTTGGAAAAGCTGATGTCCTGGAACGAATTTGGCAATTAGAGACTTCTTTTTTCCGAATTGTTCAGGAGTTTTCATGACGACAGTAACAACATCTCCATCTGCGAGGTCTTGTTGTTGTTCGGAAAGGTAAAGAGCAATGATATGAATGGTTGCTGCGTTGAATTCGAGAAAGTCGAATTCAAATTGTGTTGTCGTATAATATTCAAACCATTTTGTACGGTTGTCTCCGAACTCGTCAACGTATTCATCTTCGTCATATCCGTAACTAAAGACTTGGAATTCGGCAATTCTCTTGTCGAATGACCGTTGGATGTAACGAGGAAGATTTTGACGAACTTGGTATAAAGTTCTCAACATTATAAGCTTAGTAAATGTTGGAAAATACTGAACTAAGACATCGCTAAGCTCAATTGGACTTGGAATTGTCTTAGTAAGTTCAATTGAACTAGTAATTGCTTTGTTCAGAACTTCACAGAACTGAGTATTGTATGTAGCGTCTGGTTGTGTGTTTTCTTCGGCGTCTTTGAGATATTTAGAGCAAATTTGTTGAAGAATTTCTCTTAATTCGCTGTTAGACTTTTTGGTGGTTATTCTAACCGCTGTGCCAGTTCTTGGAGGTTGTGGAGCTTTGGCTTTGGTTAGCGGTTGAGAATTGTTAATGTTTGAATTGTGGTTAACAGCGTTGGCTTCCATTAGATAAAAATGAACTGACCAAAAAAGACAGATATTTAAATATTTGAGATAAACCGTTTTCGTCAACGGTAACCCCCTCTATTTTTTTATTTTATTTAATAGTTACCGTTAGAAAAACGGTTTATCTCAAATATTGAATGAACTATAAACGTTTTTTGTTTTCTATATATACTTTTTTGTCCAACGGTAAAACTTTTTACACAACGGTTTTTGAGAGTCGTCGCCGTTGACTTTTTTGTAGAGCACTCAAAATAGTATAACTTTGTCCGGACAAGTAAGGGTCTATCGTCGCTACAGGAAAAGTTACAGGCATTCCAAGGAAGTATACTTTGAGAAGCCTTTTCTCCATTATAGAATGAGATAGGACGGTTATTTTACAAAACTGACAACACTTTGACCGAGTAGTTTTTTGTGCTGAACAAAAAGTGTCATATAAACATCTGTCAAAAACCGCTTTTTAACTTCACTTAAAATGCCACGTAAGCTACGTAAGAATATACGTAAGAGGAAGGGAGCATTGAAACATCCAATAGTAAAACTGACACCACAACAACAGTTGCAACAACAAATGATGAATGACCCCACTATGTTGCAACAAATGTCAAGCAACCCTATGCTTTTAAACCGAGTTATTGGTGCACAGAGTGGAGGTTTAAGAGCGGCACTTTTAGCGAAAATGGCAGGCTATGGTGGAGCTGCAGACGGAACAGCTTATAACCCTCAAAGTCAAATGAATTTGAGTTCACTCAAAAATCAAATAACAGATGTCAAAAAGTCAAACATAGACATACAGAAACAAATAAGTGAAAACGAAAAGAAACTAGAATATGACAGACAGACAAAGAAACTAAATGAGTTAAACGTAGAGAAAAAGAAGAAAGAAGAACAACTGAAAGAACTAAGTACAGAGGAATATGCGAAAAAAGTGTCAGAAAAAGCAGCAGAAGTAGCAAAAATGGAACAAGATGTTATAAATTTGAAAAACCATACTACTCAATATAAAGTACTGAAAGATGAAGAGATAAAACAAAAAGCCATGAAGACATATATGGATAGCGATGAGTATAAAAAAGAAGTTGAAGCAAATGTAAAGGCAGAAAAACTTTTACAGTTGCAAAACCAAACCGTACAGTATGAAAACTTAGCACAAGAAAGTAAAAATAACGACGCAGCCATGCAAAAGGCAATGAAAAGCGCAGAATATATAAAAGCTAATAATGACTGGTTAGATGCCCAAGCCAACGCTAAAGCAGCCCAACTTATAGGGTCAATAAGGACAAAAATACAAGCGGATGAAGACAGTTCAAATGAAGCTTTAATGAATGCTGACTTTAAGAATGCCTTCGAAGCTCTTCATAGTAAGGTGAAACTAGTGAACGACTTCTCATCTGGAAAGAAACTGAAGTCTGAAGGTTTCGACAAAGAGTTAAGAGAAGTAGCACAAAATATGACGAAAATAACAGATGCAGCAACGAGACAGGCAGTTCAAAGTGCCTATGACGCCGTTAGAGCAACTGTTGTGGAAAGTCAAGAAAAAGAGTTACAACAGACCAAAACAGACCTAGTAAATGCTTTCTTAAAAACGAAAAGTCAGGTAGGACATTATGCTGCAGATGGAACATATGTGCCAGCTGGTGGAACTTATATACCACCAAACCCTCCAAGAGAAGCACCTGCACCAGGACTACCTAAAACATTTACATCGTCACATGGACACAGACACAGGCATGCACCAAAACCAACACAACAACCAACAGTTCAAAATCCAGCACCACAACAACAACAACCAAAACCAACAGTTCAAAACCCTGCACAACAACCAACAGTTCAAAATCCAGCACCTGCACCACAACCAAAACCAGCACAACAACCACCTCCACAACCAGCACAGCAACCAACAGTTCAAAACCCTGCACAACAACAACCACAAACAGAGCAAGGACATAAAAGAAGTAGAGAAAAAGGAAACCAAGAATTCTTAAAAATGCTTAAGGAAGATTATGGTTACCCAGATACTCTTGACTTTAGTGACAGATATAAAGAAGCTATTAGAAAGTTCAAGGAAGGAAATACTGACCCGAACCTATTTAGCTTTATGGTTGAGCATCAAATCGGATATAATCTCAAACCTGGAAAATACAAGCTCGCTAAGGGATATGATTTAATAGCATATCATCCAAATGACATGAATGAATTTACTCCGAGATATTTGATGTCAGAGCTAAATGATAATTCAACTCTCTTCATGAAACGCGTAAAAAATAGAGACGGAACGAAAGAAGAAAGGTTTATGAGTCCGGATGACTTAGATAGGGAACTTGTTAAAAACGGTCTCGGAATATATGAAATGCCAGCAGATGAGGTACAAGAAACTCCACAGGAAGAAGTTCAGATACAACCAGACATGGAAGAAATAGTTCAGCAACAACAGCTAGAAGAGCCTGAAGGAAACGAACAAGTCCCTCCTTTGGAAACTAACTTCACAGAACTAGATGAAGATTTGGAACAGCCGAAAAATCTTGACCCTCAACAAGAGTATGAGGTGAATATGGAATCTTTCCAAGAGTCTAAGAAAAATTCGGCTGACATAGTAGAAGAATATCGAAAAATGTTCACCGACATACAAAAGACTCCAACATCAGATGAAAATATTCAGCATAGAATGGAAGTACTGAAAGAAAATGTACGCAAATACAATAATCCTTTTTACTTACGACCATATAACGTTCAATCTTTGGCTGAACTCGGTGAAAATAAAAGGTTAAATTTCAACAAAACATATAGAAATGAAACATTGTTTAAAGTTCATTCAGAACCTAACCAATATGGAAACAAACCTACTTTTGTTTCTGCAGACTATGGAACTACAATGAAATGGGGTCATAAAGCTAATCCGGATAGGTGGTTCATAAACTTACAACCTCAATTCCAAGAAGTTGTAGACGCAATGGAAGTGAATGGTGAACCAGATATAACGGTATTTTCAGCGCGGCTTTAATGCCATTGAAAGATATGAAAGATGCAGATATTTTGGACCAGTATGAAATGAACATGGCTGAGGGAAATATAACACCTGACGTTCTAGAACATTTATCTCAAAGAACTACACAGAACCATAGAGATGGTATATTTGGTGAAGAGTTTAGAAAGAAAGTTAGGGAGAGAGAAGGAAGAGAACCTATTGTACATGACCTTGCAAACGAAAGTTTGCAAAATGTCATAAAAACTTACTTTGCAGACAATGAAATGAGAAGGGATGAATATTTAAGAAAACTCAAATGGACAGTACCAAATGAAATGTTAGTATTGAAAAACATGTTCCATGACAAAATAAAACCAACTACAGAAATAAATGACGCAAGACTGAAACGTTGGGTAAAAGCTTTCCCATTCACAAAAGATATTATTGGTTACATGGAAAGAAAACCAGAATGGCTACAAAAACATATATTTGGAAACGAGCTTATTCCATATGGACAAGCTCTGTTTGAAGAGCTTGAACCGGAAACTCAGGAAAGAGTCATGCAAACAATAAGCGAAGACTCAAATACAAACTATGACAAAATCTTTCTAGGATATAGGTTACCTGAGATGGGCGACCAGAGCCCAAAGGCAAAAAGGACATGGGAAATTTACAACATACTAGGTGAACATGAGGCAAAGATGCTACAACTTGAAGCAGAGGGCAAGTTACCAAAAGCGACACCAAAGAAGAAGAGTAGAACAAAGTGAAAGTAGTGAAGAAGTAACTTCATCTAGTGAAAGTAGTGGCAATGAAGGAAAAAGAAGAGTTAAAGATTCAGTTAAAAACTCAGTCAGGAAGAAAGTAAAGCTTGGTCCGAGTGGGTTCTATTATGACATATAAATCCACTATTCTATATTTTTACCCATATGAAATGTACGCCGCTCAGAATATAACGCCAACAGTTTTGGATGCCATGAACGGAAATGTTTCCGAATGGTATAACGAATGCGATAATGCCATTAGAAGGTCAGAAATAGTTCCTGGAACTTACGAATATACAACTGCTGTTTCTTATGGAAACGTAGGTGAGTTTGGAGAAGGTTCTTCAACAACAGTAGATATTGCTTGCGACAGGTTTCATATTATTTCTATTGACAACTCATTCTTATACGTGGAACAAGACATTGAAATAAAACCTTCTTCCAAGTTGTCTGACAAGAAAGGTTGCAATGGAATTTTCTATGTCGGATACCAATATGCTCCAGAAGTTTTCATGGGATATAAGATATATTCTAACTCTGACTTAGTTCAAACAGTAACATGGGCAAACTATGAATGGTTCGCTTTGAGAAACTCAGTACAACCACAAGCTAGAGAACAAACAGACCAGTATGCAACTATTGAGAAAATAAGAAGACTTGACCCTAACGTTCCAGGAGTTTATGTTAACCTTTCTGGTTCAGATGGAACTGCTGCCACTAAAGTAAAACTGAAACTTAGAGTTCCTTTGTCATCTTTCCTCATCTTCAGGTTTTTAAGATACTTGCCAAACTGGGCAGGAAAAATTTCTATCGAACTTACTCCAAGCAAAAATAACTTAGTCATTGCACCAACACAAGACCCATTCACTATTACAGACGTAAAGGGAACAAATCAAACGTCATTCGTCGAATTTTGCAAAGACAAAGTTGACTTAGACTTTGGTTTCTCAAACTTCAACAATGAAGTAAACTATTATTTCAATGCTGCTGGAACTGCTTGGGACCCAGTTAAGTTCACATGCGAAAAATTTGAATGCAAGAGAATAGAAAGCAGACTTGCAGTCTATATGTTGGACCCAGATATTTCAAATGCTTTAGCTGCCAAATATATTGCAGTTCCACTTATGTTCCCTATACACCAAATATCTGTCAAAGACTTTGCAGGTGAAGTTGGAAACCAAAATCCAGGAGCCGCAGGTGCAAGAACAGATATTGCTTTAACAACTGCAATGAAACATGCAGATACTATGTTTGTACTGTTCAGACGAACTATAAATGACTATTCTTGTTTCTACAACCCTGGTATTAAATATCATATAAACATAGATGGCAAATATTATCCAAGAGAAGAATATTCTACAGTTGAGGATATGAGGTCATACAACTTGACATTAGATGCTATGAACTTTAACAACAACTTCACAACAACTATTAACCCTGAAATGCAAAGTTCTATTATGCCATATGTGAAAGTATGGACTCATACAGGAGGTCAAAAAACTCAATATACAAATGGAGACCGTTCAAACTTTTGGCTTGGCATTCCATTTGCTGACTCAGAAGACTTTATGGGTAGTATTTCAACTGTTGGTACAGTTCAAATACAATATACTGGTGACAGAGACGGTCCAGATGAATTGAGAGCAAAGAAGTTTACAAAACCAATAGCACTTTTCACGGAAGATGCTCTTTTGAAGATTCGTTCGATGAAACCTGCTGGGGCTCCTCAGATTGGCATAACGACAGCTTCCATCGAGCAGATTTTGGCAGCAGGTCAGTAAGTTGTTCTTGAACTGACTTCTCTCCGTCAAATATTGACAGTACGCCAGTTTTGACATAATATTGTATTATAAACTTTCCTTTAGTAATATCTGTAAGTTTTGAAGTTATATTTTTGTCTGCTTCAAGAACTTTCACCATTTCAGTTATACCAACTTTCTTTGCTTTATGAAAATATTTAGGTTCAGCAAAGACTGCTATTCTATAACATTTTCCATTGTTTGTGTAAAGAACTATTCTGTCAATGTATTTGTATTGTTTGTGAGTATAAACTTTGTTCTGCTTCAATTCAATAAGATATCCGAATACGTCCATCTTTTTATTCTAAGTAAAATGTCATTTCCGAAAAATAGAAGCGTAAGTGTTTCAAAAGGTTTAATGGCGGTGGCAGATGTTAAGTTAAATTCACCAACCCAAACAAACAGTCAAAGTGTTATTGTCAATGTCAAAGACAGAGATGTTGAAGTGGGGAAACCATACGAAGACGAAGATGGTATAACAATTGTTCCTGTAAAAGAACCAACATATCCTGAAGTTAACAGAGACTTAAGTTCTGTTGCAGATATTCGAAACGACTACCAACAACTGAAAGACAAACTTCAAACTCAGGAGAAGATTTGTCAAGCTTTAAGTATAATGTTAAACTTGGGCGAACACAACCCTGTAAAAGTGAACTCATATGTCATTGCACCTCATGAAGTTTTGAAAGAACTATTGAAACTTTTGACAGAGGCAGACGATATAAACATCAAAGAAATAGAACCCGACATTGGTTGCTGTGGTGTTTCATATAATGTCATTGACAAGATATACGTTATGAAAGGAGGTGAAACGTTGAACTTAAAATATAGTTTCCCAGACGTTATAAAAATATTTGACGACCACAACATTTCATTAAAGTTTATTTGCTAAGTAAATGGCAGAAGACATAATGGTTTATACTATTACGACTAAAAACCCTGAGTCATATAATTCTATAACAACAAACTTACAAAGTCCTCAAGGACGATATTGTAAACTAACCTTAAACACAATGACGACTAAAGCCTGTTTTGCTCTTTTGACACCAGAAGACTTTATTGTTGTGAATGGTAAAAAATACTCCTTTGAAGATACTTACTCAGATATACCACCAACAGGTTTTGTTGACTTATTTAATACTTTAAGTACGGGTGTAACATGTGCTGCAACTAGAGCAGGTTTCATTATGTTTGGATGTCCGACTGAGTTTACTATAAACGATATGAGCTATAATACAAAACTTATTTCTGGTTTTTACTACCAACAGTTTCCTATAACAGGAAAAGGTGTCATACAAGGAATGTCTATTCCATTGACATTAAGCACACCAATCTTATATATTGTTTCAAACTTAGGTTCAAAGTGTTATTCGAATGTCGACAGAAACTATTATGACCAAAAGATACTTATGCGTATAAACAATACTTTCTCTGCTGGTTTGCCTATTGTTCATTCGAATGCAGAATTTTCAACCTTAGTGAACTCAAACACTTTGGCAAGTATAACGTTGACATTAGTTGACGCAAACTTTGTTCCTGTAAAACTTTTATGTCCTATGTATTTGTCAATGACGGCAGAAAGTTTCGAATTGGAAGATGCAACTGGTGAAAGTATTGTATTACAAGAACAACTTCAACAACAAATAGCTCAAGAACAACAAATGCAACAAATGGAACAACAAAGTCAAGAATAAAAAAATAATATTTTTTTTTATTTTTATAAAAATGTACAGAATAGATGTTTCAGATTTTTATGACTTCCAAGCATTCAGAAATATGTGTCCATTTAGAGACTATAACAAAGCAGTCGAGAATTTGAAACGTTTAGTCATTTATGTTGACTCTGCCCCAGAATGTTATGTCATGAAAGAATGGGATGTTGTCTTTAACAAACCAAGAGCAACAATAGTGTCTGAACAAGAATGTAGACAGAAACTTAAGAAAATAAAAGTTGTACAAGTTGGCATGAAGATGTTAGATGCTTGGGATATCTTATTGTCAAAGTTAGAAGATTTTTCAGTTCGAGGTATAAAGTTCTATACACCTTCTCCAAACTTCTATTCTATCTTCACTGGATATAAATACGAACAAGTAGAATGGAAACACAGTATTATAGAAGCTTGGTTAGACCATGTCAAAGAAATTATATGCAATGGAAACGAAAAGGTTTATGAGTATATCTTATGTTGGTTTGCAAATATCTTACAACATCCAAGTGCTAAAAATGAAACTGCTCTCATTATAATTGGAAAACAAGGAACTGGTAAGAATACTTTCTTTACAGATATTTTGTGCAAACTGTTAGAAGGTTATTCGAATCCGAATATGACAAACTTAGAAAACATCTGTGGCAAGTTTAACTCCTCAATAGAGAATATGAAACTTATAGTTTGCAATGAACTTCAAAGTATAGATACAACAAAAGTTTTGAACTCAGATGCTTTGAAGAGTCTTATAACAGACAAAGTTGGAGTTGTTGAAAGAAAGTATAAAGACCAAAGAGTTTGTGAAAATGTTGCAAACTTCATTATGGTTTCAAACAATGCTGTTCCGATGCAGTTAGAAAGTTCTGACAGAAGATATGTAGTTGTCAGAACGTCAGAAGCTCATATGCAAGATACTGAATATTTTGACGCTTTGTCAGAATGTTTGACATCTGACTTTTACAACCACTTGTTCTCATATTTCATGACATTAGATATTTCTAAGTTCAATCCAAGACAAATTCCACATACCGAAGAGAGACAAACATTGTTAGAAGCAAACAAGAGTGTTTATGAACTGTTCGTAGATGAAACTGACTTTGTGTCATTAGATGAAAGGTCATTGTACGATTCGTATAAACAATATTGTCAAGAGTATGGTTATATGCCAGCGTCTAAACGAACATTCTTGGCAAATGTCAAAAGTCTTTTAGATGTTCAGAATGGTGTATATACAAAGAAAATTTTTTCTGAGTAAATTTTAAAAAAAAATATTTTTTATCCGATAGAAAAGATGACGAAATAGATTTCAGTAAACAAGTACATGTCAGGAGTTAAAGAAGAACTAGACCCATTCACATATTTGAATGTTTATTTCTACCATTTTGAAAAGTCTTCATTCAGCAAAGTTTGGAACATCGAACCAGTTAAGTTTGCTATTGTGACTAAAATGGTGCGAAATTTGAAGACTTAGACATAGAAGGTTTGTTAACAGTCAAAGAAAGTTTTGACAGAAGGTTCTCAAACCTTAAAGAAGGCAAAGCATACAAACTTGTTATACCTTATGAACCAAAGAAGACAGACGACTATGAATATTATGAGTCTAAAGTTGTAGAAGTTCAAGGTAAATTGGGTAAAAAGCTATTAGAGTCTAAGCCAGTGTTTACTCCTAAAGAGGAAGAGAACATTGACATTGACCCAGAAATGTTCTAAAAATAAAATTTTATTTTTACATGTCAAATTTCTTCTTCGGTGGAATTGGCTCTGGTTCTTTCTTCTCTTCTTCTACTTTCTTTTCTTTCTTTTCTTTCTTCTTCTTCTCTGGTGGAGATATGTCAAATTTCTCAGAACCATATCTATGTAAAAGTTCTTTGTCCTTTAATAGCTCTTCTATTCTGTTTTCTATTTCATCTTCAAGAACAGCGCATGTGTCTTCTTTGCATTCTAAGAACTTTTGTTGGACTTCATCTTTCCAATCGGCGTCATCTCTGTCAACAAGTCTGTCATTGACAAATTTTAAGACTGCTCTTTGTAATGTTTTATGGTTCTTGTCATATTCCCAGAAACAGAACTTTAGAACAAATTCACCTTTCTTGTTTACATTATGTAAGGTTTTATGGTCTACAGATGTTTTGCTGTCGAAAAGCTTGTCTCGAATATAGATAGCGAAATCGCTAGACATTTTCTAAAAGATAAAAATTTTAATTTTTCTAAAAATATGTTAGAAAAAAGTTTGCTGACATTGACAAGAAATTTGAGAATGTTTTAAACAAGAACAAGAGGAAGTTAGAAAATGCTCAGATAAAGCCTATACATGAAAAGTTCTTATTTGCTCAGAATGGTATAACAGGTCTAATTGCACCACCTGGGTCGGGTAAGACTTTCACTTATCTTAAAATGGCTGCACAACAACAAGAACTAGATGAGAAGAACCCATTTTATGAGTTAGTTGTTATTTGTAGTACTTCTGGTCAATTTGACCAAACCGTCAATTCGTTCAAAGATATTATAAAGAAGTCTAAGTTAGTATGTATAAAGGATACTGAGTTGTTAGATTGGATAAAGAAGTACCAAAGAAGAGTTTTGAAGTATAATGCTATAAATGAGTATATAAATTCGAAGTTTAAAGAACCTAATGAGGAAATGCAGAGAATATTAGACAAACACCACTTCAGAAACAAACAGAAAGAGATAGAATACATTTCGAAGAAATTGCAATCTTACGATTGGAAGACTTACCCTCATAGATGTCTTCTTATCTTAGATGATTTCGCCTCTCATCCTTTGTTAAAGAACAGAGAACAAGATATGTGTCGAATTCTTAAGAAGCTCAGACACTTTAACATCTCAGTTGTCATTTGTGTACAGACAGCAAAGAGTTTAAGTAAGGATGTTAAAAGAATACTTACTGACATAATACTTTTCCCCAGATTGTCCGAAGACGATTTCATGGAACTTATGAAAGAGTCCATGGCAGGTAAGTTTGACAGACACCAATGAAAAAAATAAAATGATATTTATTTTAAATATATAAGATCCTTATATAAAATATAAATATTTTAGAGAGATAAAACATTTGTATAGTTAAGATATAAAACTTTTGACATAAGTGTTTCAATGTCATGAACTCTTATAGCACCACTATATAATAGTCTAAGAGATATACTATCCCAGTCATATACTCTGCTTTTTTCAAAACCTCTCTGACAGTATTTTTCTTATCTAATGGTATACGTTCCATCTTACCTATAGGTATCTTTTCTTTTAACTCTTTCAATATATTGTTTGTGTCTGGAATATGTTTGAGACGGTCCATATAGTTGTCGAAGTCATTGCATATAATCTTTGAGTCTGGGAATATTGTATGGCACAAATGGGATATATAGAAACTTCCACCGAACAAATCTACAAATGTTAGACCATTCGGTAGTTTCTTAAGTTCTCTCAATAGAATATCTTTACATCTACTCTTATTTCCAAAGAAGGGTAACGGTGGTTTTGTAAAATTCATTTTATATACAATAAAAATGTTTTTTCCTGAAAAGTGACAGAAAAGTGACAAAACATGTACGAAGAAGTCTTGAAAATTCAAGAGGGTAGAAAAGAGGTTAGAAAAGAGGTTATATCTAACCTTCTACCCTAAACATTATTTTTGTCTGATTTTACGAAGAAGTCTTGACAAAACATGAAAACATATATAATTTGTGAAAAGCTCCTGGAAGACCCGTATATAAGAACTTCATTTATACTAAACATCTTCAGGGCTAGAAGGCACGAAGTGCCTGGAAGCCCCACTACCTTTTTTTTTTTTTTTTTTTTTTTTTTTTTTTTTTTTTTTTTAGATTAAAAAAAAAATAAGAATAATTATCAAACAAATGAAATTAAAGTAAAGTAAATTAGATTGGGAAGCGTTTCTCGGCATTTTTCTTCAAAGTCGGTCGCTTGAATCAATCTTGCCTGCTTAAGAGAATTGAAATGAGAAAGATTCTTAAGTTTTAAAACTAGAAAACGAAAAATCTAGTAAATTTGATACAGTAATAAATGCATTTCTCCTAAGTATTGCTGTGTAATATTTTTAAACTTTGATTGAGAATACAAAATTTCAATGTATCTCAAAAGTAATATTAATCTTTTTTTGAATTATCAGTTTAAATGGGCTGTTCAAGTAGCAAGAGTTCTGAGCCCAAACAATCCTCGAATACAAGATTTACATCTACTAAAGCTCCAATTAAATTGTTTTATCTCCCAGGAAATGTTAAATTTACTCTCACAAAACTTGTTTCTCAAGGAACTAACGGAAACGATCCGAACGCTACTTCATCATCAAGCATTAATGTAAATGCAAGATTTATCGATATACCGAATTCAAGAGCATTGCGGAAATTATGGGGTAAAGAGGTTACAAATAAATCTTCTGATTGTGCAATGTCCATATTTTTAGCGGATATTAGAGAGCGCCCTATGATGCTGCTCAATATCAAGACGTTAAATTGGTTTGCAAAACAGCTCACACAAAAAGGTCAACTAGTTAGTGTTTTGATTTGCAATAATGAACTAGAAGTTTCAGAATTTAAATCGCATATTAGTTCTACAGACATTGATTCAATAATAATTAAAAAATCGGATCCTGAATCAATTATCCAATTTACAGAGATAATATCAGCAGAAATCACAAAATACAATGAGAGGAAGAAGAAATTTATTGAAGTTTCTCCAAGATCACGTTAATTATAGATTTTACTCCAATATTTATATCTATATCTATTAATTTAGTTAAACTTTTGTATGTTATGTTGATTTTTTAGTAATCATTTTAATTAATTTTAAAATTTTTACAAATAAGTAGCGTCTTTGAATTGAGGAACTTTTGTTATTAAAAATGGTTGTCGAAGCGTAAATAATATAATTGGGAAAAATTAAAAATTAAAAATAAAATTTAAATATAAAATTAAAAAGGTTATTTTCAAATAAATATTTCTTCTCGTTCCAATGGTTCATCTTCGCTTTCAAAATTATTATCATTTGCATCATTTGGAGGAGAATTATCAACTTGGTCTGCATTTGCTGCATCATTCGGAGCTGCGCCTTGTGATTTTTTAAGTTTAATAAACAAGAATATAGCAGCAACCCAGCCAATTAGTGCGAAAACAACTAATGGCCATAGGACGAATTTACCAAATGAAGATTGGAAGAACCCACTATTTTGATTATTATTAGGATCATTATCAGAAGCTGATGAAACTGCAGAGCTGTTACTTTGTTCGGAAATTGTTGGAGGCAAAATTGTGGGTGTAGAAATTATTGGATTACTTGCTGGCTTTTGGGAAGATGTTTGGATTATAACTACGATTTCTTGTTCACTCGATGTCGTTGAGGATGATGTTGTCTCTTCGCTCGATGTCATTGAGGATGATGTTGTCTCTTCACTAGATGTTGTTGTTGAGGAGGATGTTTCTTCACTCGATGATGTTGAGGATGAAGATGTTTCTTCACTTGATGTCGTTGAGGATGAAGATGAAGATGTCTCTTCACTAGATGTTGTTGAGGATGAAGATGATGTTGTTTCCTCACTCAATGTTGTTGAGGAAGAGGATGTTGTCTCTTCACTAGATGTTGTTGAGGATGAAGATGTTGTCTCTTCACTAGATGTTGTTGAGGAGGATGTTGTTTCTTCACTGGATGTCGTTGAAGATGATGTTGTCTCTTCGCTCGATGTCGTTGAGGATGAAGATGTCTCTTCGCTCGAAGTTGTGGAGGAGGATGATGTTGTCTCTTCACTCGATGTCGTTGAGGATGAAGATGTTTCTTCACTCGATGTCGTTGAGGAGGATGAGGATGTTGTCTCTTCACTCGATGTCGTTGAGGAGGATGAGGATGTTGTCTCTTCACTCGATGTCGTTGAGGAGGATGAGGATGTTGTCTCTTCACTCGATGTCGTTGAGGAGGATGAGGATGTTGTCTCTTCACTCGATGTCGTTGAGGAGGATGAGGATGTTGTCTCTTCACTCGATGTCGTTGAGGAGGATGAGGATGTTGTCTCTTCACTCGATGTCGTTGAGGAGGATGAGGATGTTGTCTCTTCACTCGATGTCGTTGAGGAGGATGAGGATGTTGTCTCTTCACTCGATGTCGTTGAGGAGGATGAAGATGTTTCTTCACTCGATGTCGTTGAGGAGGATGAGGATGTTGTCTCTTCACTCGATGTCGTTGAGGAGGATGAGGATGTTGTCTCTTCACTCGATGTCGTTGAGGAGGATGAGGATGTTGTCTCTTCACTCGATGTCGTTGAGGAGGATGAGGATGTTGTCTCTTCACTCGATGTCGTTGAGGAGGATGAGGATGTTGTCTCTTCACTCGATGTCGTTGAGGAGTAGAGGATGTTGTCTCTTCACTCGATGTCGTTGAGGAGGATGAGGATGTTGTCTCTTCACTCGATGTCGTTGAGGAGGATGAGGATGTTGTCTCTTCACTCGATGTCGTTGAGGAGGATGATGTTGTCTCTTCACTCGATGTCGTTGAGGAGGATGAGGATGTTGTCTCTTCACTCGATGTCGTTGAGGAGGATGAGGATGTTGTCTCTTCACTCGATGTCGTTGAGGAGGATGAGGATGTTGTCTCTTCACTCGATGTCGTTGAGGAGGATGAGGATGTTGTCTCTTCACTCGATGTCGTTGAGGAGGATGAGGATGTTGTCTCTTCACTCGATGTCGTTGAGGAGGATGAGGATGTTGTCTCTTCACTCGATGTCGTTGAGGAGGATGAGGATGTTGTCTCTTCACTCGATGTCGTTGAGGAGGATGAGGATGTTGTCTCTTCACTCGATGTCGTTGAGGAGGATGAGGATGTTGTCTCTTCACTCGATGTCGTTGAGGAGGATGAGGATGTTGTCTCTTCACTCGATGTCGTTGAGGAGGATGAGGATGTTGTCTCTTCACTAGATGTTGTTGAGGAGGATGTTGTTTCTTCACTGGATGTCGTTGAAGATGATGTTGTCTCTTCGCTCGATGTCGTTGAGGATGAAGATGTCTCTTCGCTCGAAGTTGTGGAGGATGAGGATGTTGTCTCTTCACTCGATGTCGTTGAGGAGGATGAGGATGTTGTCTCTTCACTCGATGTCGTTGAGGAGGATGAGGATGTTGTCTCTTCACTCGATGTCGTTGAGGAGGATGAGGATGTTGTCTCTTCACTCGATGTCGTTGAGGGGATGAGGATGTTGTCTCTTCACTCGATGTCGTTGAGGAGGATAGGATGTTGTCTTTCACTCGATGTCGTTGAGGAGGATGAGGATGTTGTCTCTTCACTCGATGTCGTTGAGGAGGATGAGGATGTTGTCTCTTCACTCGATGTCGTTGAGGAGGATGAGGATGTTGTCTCTTCACTCGATGTCGTTGAGGAGGATGAGGATGTTGTCTCTTCACTCGATGTCGTTGAGGAGGATGAGGATGTTGTCTCTTCACTCGATGTCGTTGAGGAGGATGAGGATGTTGTCTCTTCACTCGATGTCGTTGAGGAGGATGAGGATGTTGTCTCTTCACTCGATGTCGTTGAGGAGGATGAGGATGTTGTCTCTTCACTCGATGTCGTTGAGGAGGATGAGGATGTTGTCTCTTCACTCGATGTCGTTGAGGAGGATGATGTTGTCTCTTCACTCGATGTCGTTGAGGAGGATGAGGATGTTGTCTCTTCACTCGAAGTTGTTGAGGATGAGGATGTTGTTTCTTCACTAGATGTCGTTGAGGATGAAGATGTTTCTTCAATAGATGTTGTGGAGGATGAAGATGTTTCTTCACTAGATGTTGTTGAGGAGGATGTTTCTTCACTCGATGTTGTTGAGGAGGATGTCTCTTCACTCGATGTTGTTGAGGAGGATGTCTCTTCACTCGATGTTGTTGTTGAAGAGAATGAAGATGATGTTTCCTCAGTAAATGTTGTTGAGGATGAAGAACTCGATGGATAATGAGATGAACTCGATGAGTTTGCTGGATAATATGATGAACTTGACGAACTCGATGGATAATGAGATGAACTTGACGAAGTCGATGGATAATGAGATGAACTTGACGAACTCGATGGATAATGAGATGAACTTGACGAACTCGATGGATAATGAGATGAACTCGATGAGTTTGCTGGATGATATGATGAACTTGACGAACTCGATGGATGATATGATGAACTTGACGAATTCGATGGATAATGAGATGAACTTGACGAACTCGATGGATAGTGAGATGAACTTGACGAACTCGATGGATGATATGATGAACTTGACGAACTCAATGGATGATATGATGAACTTGACGAACTCGATGGATGATATGATGAACTTGACGAACTCGATGGATAATGAGATGAACTTGACGAACTCGATGGATGATATGATGAACTTGACGAACTCGATGGATAATGAGATGAACTTGATGAACTTGATGGATAGTGAGAATCACTTGATGTATAGGTAGGATCACCTGATGGATAATATGATGAGCTTTCAGATCCACTATTATAACTAATGAAATGTATATTTTTATAAAAGTTAGCACTAACACCAGAATTTCTATCAGTACATGTGGTATTTACTGGATAAACGCCATATACATTTTCGTACCGGTCTGTTTCGAAATAGAAATCAATTCCATATTCGTTTCTTCCATAAAAACTTTTTTCAATTCCTCTAAACTCACAAGTGCAGTAGTAATCAATATCTGTTGGTGCACCAAATCGAAAATAATAATAGTAATCAAATTCATCCATTCTGTATACATCACTATAGATATTATCTAGATATATGGTAAATGGCACATTGACTTTGCAATTTATTTCTCTATAGAAATAATACCCGGATTTAATTGTGATTCTGAATGAACTGACGTTTGGTGCAAGGAATGAAAATATTGTTTCATCACTTCTATAATTCTCATTTATTGTAACGGTGTGATTCATTGTTTCTGTATAAGGTGAAGAAAAGATGATTTCCACCTCCTCTCCAACGCCATAATCATAGGCCATGCATGATAAATTGTATATATCATTAGCAAATCCCAAAGGTTTTTCATCCCATCCTCCAACTGCTACGCATTTGATGTAGTTCATACGAGTAATAAAAGTATTACGCATAATGATGTTACTCCTTATTCCATCTTCACTTATAAAGAAAATTTTGGCAAGTAATGCTTGAGTGATATATTCGACATCGATATGTATTGTTTCGGTCTGCAGTTCTGCGTTTTCATCACTCATGTTATATTCTTCAGAAATAACCTCTTTCACGAAAACTGCTTCATTATTGTTTAGTTGATAATAAAATTTCAATTTTTTGCCTGGTACTGGATGAACAAAGAAAACAGTTGGATTGAATATTTCATCAATTTCTCCAAATCTAATACTCTCTCGAGTATTCTGAAAAGGGAACCATCCTCTTGACATAATTGCGCTTGGAATTTGGTTTGGATTATAATGGAAAACAAAAGAATAACTTTGTGAGTTGGTACCTAAATCATTTTGAGCATATAGATCCAATGTTACATTTTTTTCTTCATTTCCTTCATATTCTAGACAGATTATATAATTTGGAGATGACCATAATTGAATTGGATAAGTATAATTATATTCAACTCCATCAAACGAAGCTTTAATAGTTACGTCACGTGATGATTTAATTATTGAATCAATTTGAATCATTGCATATTGCGGATAATTATCAAATGGTGGAGTGATAATTGTGAGATTTGGTGGTTCATCAATAATTGTTCGATAATTTTCATTTATAACTACCACATTCTGAATTCTGCAATTAAGATAAAAAGATAAAGTTCCACTTCCTGAAACTTTGCCAAAATTATATTCGAACACTGAACTATTGCCATTTTCATCTGTTGTAATTTCCATTGAATGAATAGTTCTAGTAGCATATGAATCATCTCCAATATCAATTTTAATTACTTGATTCTTTGGGAGATTTATCAATTTGCCCTTAAATATGGCTTCTTCGTTTTGTTGATAAGACTTTTTCCATTCAACTACTTCAACATTTGCATATTGGAAACTGTCGATGATGAGTTCTTTCTGAACAGTATTTGATGAAGTTCCTTGGCTATCTTTGGCAAAGATTATATATTTTCTTTGGTATTTTGTAAAAACTTCCATTGTGCATTGGAATTCTCCCTCACCATTTGTTAATTGGCCACCACCTATTTCGAATGTTGAGCCATCAATACTGTAGAATATTCGTATATATTCATCGAGAAGTTCATCTTTAATTTTAACAGTTAAATTAACTTGGTCATTCAGTTGGATTTCTGAAGTTTTAGAAATACTTAACAGTTCCAATTCTGGAACTGTTCTATTTGAAACCTTAAATGTCTTTGTTATGTAATGATATGTTATAAAAGGTTGATATGCTGCGTACAAAGTTAATGAATGATCACTAATCGAATCGTCAAATTCCATTGTAAGTGGGATGGTTTTAGAGGATTGATAACCCGGGTTATTGAATTTTATGATGTCCCCATCATCAATTCTATAATAAATGTCAAATTCACCTGGGTTGGCATTTAAGAAGAGTAATGCTGTTTCATTTTGTGAATATTCTTCTTTGAATGAAGTCCATTCAAAACTTGTAAAGTAAGGAAAATACATTTCGGATGAAGCAACTAATTCTGAATTATTGTTATAAGCTTGAAATTGAACGGATATTGGTTCGGACTCTTGAGTGAAACTCAATGGGATTTCAACTGCGAAAAGATCTGAATCTAAATTGTCTTTGACTCTAATTTGTTCAGGTAATTCAATCCACGTATCGGATATATTATATTTTCTTACATAATCACCTGGTAAAAATCCGTGCAAAAATCCTTCTACTCTCACTGATTCATTTCCTGGATTCAATCCTTCTACTCTCACTGATTCATTAGGCCATCAAATGTTTTGGTTACTTGTGTTCTTCCATCAGTTATTTCAAATAACTCGCTTTGATGGCCTAATGAATTGCAAGGAGGAAGATAATAATCAAAATTCTGTCCAATACTGCCAGTAGAAATCCATTGATAAATTACTTCATAGCCATGATATACAACTAGAGTGTCACTTTCATCATAATCATTTATATATATTGTGACTTTAGGTGATTGTCCTAATTTATAATTACTAATTCCATTGATTTGCATACTTGGTTTTGAATTTGTACGTGTAGCAAGCTCAGATCTTATATAACGTTCATGATTTTCATCATCAATTATATAGAAATAAATAGTTCTGTATCCATAAAAGCTATCACTTATGTAAAATGTGACATTTATTTCCTGTATTCCTCCGTTTAGAATATAGACGTCGTTCAGGTAAATGCGTGTATTCAATTCGTATGCAATCCTGACTGGACCTTGTCCTTGAACTGTTAATTTATATGAAACATCACCTGGGACTAAAAATCTACTTAAAGTGGGCTGAGCATTGATTAATTTAAGTGCCATTTTGGTTTTGATTGGGTATGCAATGCTGGTGATTAGGGAACCTGTCTCATTAAATGCATAAATATATAGATAGAATGTATTTGTCTCATTGGGTGCCCTTATATAAATATAAAAAGAATCAGAATTGGACTCCCATCCAATCTCAAGTTCTTGATTCAAAGAAATATTTTCATCAGATAGGAATCTATATGTAACTGTTGGATGTGTTCCTATTTCAAAGTTCATTAATTGACACCAAATTGAGTAACTTTCACCAGATTCATAAGATCCCATTGAACTTGTAACGACAATTGCAGGCTCCGCATTGATTCTAAATGAAAGATTATCGGTTGTCGCATTGAATACAGTATCAAAAACTCTTATTTGTACATTGTGCATTCCTTGTTCACCCTTGAGTCGATAAATATGAACATCCTCATAATATGTATCTGTTGTCGAACCTGTTATAAATGCGTACTCTTCATATTCATCTTGGTCATCAATTCTCAAAAATATACTAATTCTTTCTGATGTACTAGCATCTCTAATTATCAATTTTATTTGTGGTATTTCAGATTTTTGATATACATCTTTTGTCATGCGTGCATCAATAATTTGAGGTGGGGCAACATTATAATATTGTATTGTTAAATTATAATCTTCACTATAAGAATCATATCTATCAATTAATCTTATTTTAATTTCATTTTCCCCTTCCATTAAATTCAACTTTGCTTTGAATTCAATTTCACGTTCTCCGTTGATCATATAAAATAGTCTGAAGTTACTGAATCTTGAGTATATATACTATAGCCAGAAGCTGTTCTTATTTCTATTTTTACCTGTCCTTCGTCTATTGCTTTTCCTCTAATTGTGAAATTCTCACCTACACTTAATGAAGATGAATAATCAAGAATCTCAAACTTCGGTGGGGAGTTAACTAGAACTGTAAAAGTTTCGGATGTAAGAAATGAATCTCCAGCAAAAGCACTTATCGAAATAGGCATCATTCCATAATAATTTCCTGTGAATCCTTCATATGTAATATTATCTGTCGTATAATCTGAATTAGGTAATATCTTATGATCATATTCAATTCTATCGCCTTGAATATCTAAATAGAATGTCAATTCTTCGCCAGGATTTACATCCACCATACGCCATGTGATTGTAAATGATTCATTTTGTTTTTTCCCAATAGCTGTACTATTTAATTTCATTTCGACTTGTTGACGAACAGTATATATAAATGGTCTTTCAGCATAAACAATCTGATTAGATTGATCCATTGCATAAAATGTCAAATTGATTTGTTGATTAATTGGTTTGTGTTTATGAATATATAGGGTGTCCAAAGGTGCGTTTAGCACAGCGCTCTATATGAGACTATTAAAGGAGATATATGCTGATTATAAATATATAATAAAAAATATGAATATATGTATATGATGAGTATGTTGTATTTTGGCGCCATGCCGGGATATAAAATGAATTTTGAGACAAGAGGCGGTTTCGCGGGAAATTTTGGCGGGATTTTTTTCATTTTTTTAATGAATCATAAAGAAAACATCCTCGCTCTTGCAAAAAAATACAAAGACTGTAAAAAAATCTACGAGACATTGGTAAAATGCTTCGGTATGGATGCTCCTAGCTATTCCACTGTAACGTATCATGTTAGGATGTATCACTTCATGAACAAAAAGGCGCCCATCATAAAAATATCGCCGGATCAAAATTATCTTCAAGCGCTAGATGAAGACCCAAGAGCATCACTCAGAAGGATAGAGGAGATGACAAAGATACCACGTACAACAGTCAGTTATTATCTGCACAATTATTTGAACTACAAACTAGCGTATACACGTTGGGTTCCGCACAACCTTAATTCAGTTCAAAAAAAATCTAGAGTCCAATCTTCGAAAGAGCTCCTCTCTATATTGGGTGCGTATCAATCCAAGAAGTTTCGCTTTTTAGTAACAGGGGACGAGTCTTGGTTTCAATATGCAACAGAAGCCAAAATCATGTGGATCCCGAAGGATGAAAATCCGCAAACATTCCCGAAGAAAAAAATTGACACACCAATGATGATGTTGTCGGTTTTTTGGGGCGTGAATGGCATCATCGCAATTGATATTCTTCAAAAACCTAATACGATGAATGCTCAGTATCTAATTGACAATGTTCTTACTCAAATTATCAATTCTGATGAGTTTGAGAAATCCAAACAACAAAAACAAAAGTTTGCAATTCATTTTGATAATTCAAGAGTTCACAAAAGTCATAAGGTAATGAATTACTTGGTGGAAAACAATGTCAAAGTTGTTCCAAACCCAATTTATTCACCTGATATTGCACCCTCTGACTTTTATTTATTCGGCACGCTAAAAAAGAGAGCTGAAGGACGCGAATTCGCGAGTCCAGATGATCTTGAAAATTTTGTAAGAGAGCAATTTGAGCAATTTTCTCATGATGATTTAAAGCGTGTCTTTCAAGCCTGGATCGATCGCTGCGAACGCGTGATTGAATCCAATGGTGATTATATTTAAATAAACTTTATATATATGTAACTTGTTTATTTCTATTCGCAGTATTCAGGTTTGTGCCAAACACACCTTTGGACACCCTATATTTAAAGTAATGATTTGAATAATCAGAAACATATTCAGCAATTTTGATAGGAGACCCGTTTTCTAATACCATAATCTCGATTTTATCATTGAATGTTGATGTAAGAGATTTGATAGCATATGTTGGAAACTCACTAAATTTGGATGTTGAAGGATTATAATAGTCAGAAACACTTAATGAAGGTGGTTTTCCTAGCACATGGAATTCAATGGACTGTGGAAGAGAGCTTCCAACATTTGAAATATAGTATACGAAAGTAATTTTGTATGTTCCTGGAACAAAAACGTTAACTTGGAAATTTACGGGTTGTGTATTATTGATATCACCATAAACAGATAAACTTCTTCCTTTATCAGGATTGGAATCAAGATAATATCTAATATACTTATTATTACCATTACTGCTATCAGCAACTGCTTTGAAACTCACATCAAGAGTATTGCCCAACTGAATGTGATCATTTGCAACATTGATATCTCTTATTTCAACTGCGATTTTGAAAAAGGAAAGCTTAAATGATTCAGTGTAATTTAAATCATTGTTTTCCCTGTCTTTAATCGTAATTTTCCAGTTATGGTTGTATTCGGTGGATAAACCAGAGAGATTTAAAGTATATGTAAATGGTATATCTCCATTCTGATCAGAAAATTCTGCTGGTTTAATATTAATATCACGGTTCAATCCTGTAATTAAAATGTCAACTTGCCTTCCTTCTTTTAACATATGACATATGCCGGTAATTGGCTCCATTCTATCTCCATTGGCATCTACTTTAGAAGGATATTCACTTAAGGTGAAGGAAATTTTGCGGGAAATGTGAAATTCCTTATATGTGATATTTGATTTGAGATTATTTGAATAGTAGGTTGTTTCTTGGCACCATATCTTAAGCTTTGCATCTTTCATTGTCATTGGTATCGAATAATTATCCTCTAATATAATTTCATTTGTTGTCATGTTAATATTGTCTTTAAGAACTGTGCTATAAACTGTTTCACCTGTTTGTAGATTTTCCAAAACATACATTATTGTTAATGTTGCATTTGGTTTATTACATTTAATATGTATTCCTTCGAGGACGATTGATTCATTATCAGATAGTTCTAATTTTTCGAAATTTAATTCTGGATATCCATAACCAATGAATTCGATAGGCAATGTGATGATTTCGGAAATTTGATTGTTACCATAATCACCTTGTAAAAAGAAAGAAATATCGTGAACTCCAGATTTAAGAAATTGTTCATTTGTGTAAGTTGGATGTAGATCATTTTCAATAAAGATTCCATCTAATAAGGAAGTTGAAAAAGATATTGTTTGTGTTGTTGATTGATTTGTTTTTGATTTGTATTGGAAATATGGAGTAGAGTAAGCAAAATATCCATCAGCAACAAATGAAATTTTGCCTAAAGGCATTGAAAAATATGTAATATTGAATTCCAATTCCTGATCATAATAATATTTATCCTTGAGTGCTACTACATTTTCAAGTTTCAATTGGAAATTGATTCCATACCAGATCTCTTTGAAGACTTCATTTGTCTGGGAGTTATATGCTTTGAACGTGATTGATTTTTCAAAATAATCTTTTGTGCTTTGGAATGTGTAATGGAAGTTGAATAAATGAGATGAACTGTTTTCATATGTTTCAATTGCCTGAGAAGAAATTAATTCGTTTTCAATTGTCACATTCATCATGAATCCATCACTAATAGTTGTGTGATGCCACATGCCAGAAAATTCCAGTTCCTGATCAAATACAATTGGTGGAGGGAAATATTCGAGTTCCCATGCATAAGTTACGTTATATATTGAGAAAATATCTTTTCCTAAGACAGCGCCTCCTTGTGAAAAATCATATTTTACTGAATTATAATTTGATAACCCTTCCAACATAAGAGGAAAAACTATTTTTTGATTGGGTGAGATAATATCATAATTAATGTATTGTATCGGATGGTTTCCACTTGGTAAACTGATGTTAATCAATACGTTTCCTTCAACTTTAATGTGACTGACTTCGAATGTAATATTATATGTTCCTGGAGAATATACGTTGAACGAATTTATCTGTTTTATTTTAATTTCTTGTTTTAATGGTTTATAATTAAGCTTTTGTAGTGTAATTGATTCTATATTAGATTGTGCATTCCAGTTTTCCAGAAAGAAATATAACGTTACTTCTTCATTATCATCCATTGTGGGGGTAATACGATATGAAAACTCCTTTTCTTCTTGTGTTAGATCTAATTCTCGATAATATTGGGAGCATATTTTCTCCCCATTGAGAGTGTAACATAAAAAGTATTCTCCATTTCCAGTTGCCCTAAACTTAATCTCATAACCTTGATCGCCTGTAAACTGATCATGTTTTGGGTTAAGTAATCTCACAATTGTTGGTTCTACATCAAAAAAGAAACTTATAATTTCAACTGGTATATAAGCGGTTTCAAAAACATATGAAACCTCCATGTTGTTGTAGCTATTATAGTCGCTATTGAAAAATAAGTTGATTGGAATGTCTTCATTTGTCTTGTTAATAGATATTGATTTTACCTCATTTGATGTGATTTCTGATATCACATGTATTTTAAGATTAGAAATGCTCACTATGCTTCTAATATTCGCTGTGAAGTTAAATCTTTCGTAATATTTCATTGAAACTTTGTTCTGAACATCATGACTAGCAGTAAATTGACGGCCAATTTCTGTGTATATTTCAATTGTAAGTGTTTTATCGCTATATTTTGATGTTGGTCCAGAGAATTCATATTGTATATAATTATTGCGAGCAGAACGTGGGAAATAGCGGCTATATCCTGTGATTTCATCACCATTGTCAGTATAATATTCTATTCTGGTATTATCTTGTATAAGAAATGAAAACTTCGTATCAGAATTCGGATCTTCGAAATAAAAACCACTTTCCTTTCCTAGTAAATGAATCATAAAATCTTTGTTATCGCCTATTGAAGGTTTCATTCTGACTACTAAATTAGCTGATTCGTATTCATTGAGTTGAATAATTTTGAAATGCAAATATATCTTATCCGAATCAGGGTCGGATTCAATAGATGGATTGACAAATATACCAATTTGTTTGAATAATTGTTCATTGGTTAAATTAACCCTCTTATAATTTATTGTAGCAAAAATCCCATTAACTAGTTTCTTTCCGTCATAGTAAATATCAAAAATATTATAAGGATCTTGAGCCTCAGCCCAAGTAAATTTGTTTTGAACTAGTAATGAAAAAAGTAAATATAGCATTTAATGGGAATAGTTTAGAAATTGAGAAGTTTTTTTGAATTTTGAATTGATTCAAATCAACAATTGTGGGGATAACCTAATTTAAATAGGACTTAATATTTGCTATCTTGTGATTCAAATGCAAAAAAAAAAAAAAAAAAAAAAAAGGTAGTGGGGCTTCCAGGGGCTGCGCCCCTTCTAGCCCCTAAAAAACCTAGAGGAGAACTAAAAAATTATATAGTAAGAAATTAAAGTTTTTATTCGATAAGAACGACATCGCTATCGTTTTCTTCTTCCTCCTCCTCTTCTTCATAGTCAGTATCTGATGGCTCTTTGTCAGCCACATGACCAGCAACAAATATTGAGACAAATTGTTTCTTTGGTTTTGTTAGCAGGAACTTTTGATGGTCGTAGAACACGAATTCTACATTTTGAAAATGTTGTGCTGAGTATTCTGTGAAATGGGAAATTGGAATTGGTTCTCCCATGCCAAAACCAGCAATGGACGCGAACAAAACATCGTCTTCGACTCTTGCAGGTTTGTCAATTGCAACAGTAGTTATTATGTGAGGTTTTCCTTCACATCCTGCAAGAGATTGTACATGATAGATTGCTTTTTCTTCTCCCTCAGGAACTGAAAGTGTGAAATGGAACGAGAGTTCACCATATTCATTTGCTTCTTCGTAATAGTTGTATGTTGTAGGATACACCAATTGAAATTTTCCTATTCTTGTTTCCCTCAGGTGTTGTCTATATTGCTTGGGAAAACATAAAATAAATTGCTCTATAGCTTGTGTTGCTATTAGATTAGTTGTAACTGGTAATTTTGAGGCGAAAAGGTCTACAAGAACACCGGGATTTTTTATGTCGTTTTCAATTGGTTTAAGAGATTCTATGACTTTGTTAAACATTTCACTATAATCTGTGTTGTCTTCGACCCCCCAATTGTTAAGAAGTTTATACAACAATTTCAGTCTTTTCATGGCGTATTTTCTTTGAATGGATTCGGGTAGCGAGAGGTTACAGTCGTCGGTTTGTGTTTCGTTACTCGAATATTGTTCAAGAGAAATTAAATCTTGAAATTGTGCTCTTGTTAACATACTTGTAGAACTATGTGAAACTTGTTCTGGTGCTGGTTGTAAATCTGTTTCAGATGTTTCTGTTGTGTTTTGAGAAGAAGAAGAACTCAAATTGTTGGACAATTTGTCTTGAATTGTAGAACTATGTGAAACTTGTTCTGGTGCTGTTTGGACAACTGTATCTGTTGTGTTTTGAGAAGAAGAACTCAAATTGTTGGACAAATTGTCTTGAATTGTATGAGGAAGTTGCTTTGGTATTATAGGAGGTCGTAAGGGTTTTGAGAATGGTGAGACATAAGTTGTAGGAACTTTAACTGCAGAGGTAGTCGACGAATTGTTTGCGACACTTTTTCTTCCTTCCATTATGAAAAATAAACTGTTTTTTTCGGACTACTCATAGAAAAGTTTAAAATAAACGGTTTTTACCAACGGAGACCCCCTCTATTTTTTTATTTTATTTAATAGTTACCGTTGGCAAACCGTTCCATCTCAAATATTGAATGAACTATAAACGTTTTTTGTTTTCTATATATACTTTTTTGTCCAACGGTAAAACTTTTTACACAACGGTTTTTGAGAGTCGTCGCCGTTGACTTTTTTGTAGAGCACTCAAAATAGTATAACTTTGTCCGGACAAGTAAGGGTCTATCGTCGCTACAGGAAAAGTTACAGGCGTTCCAAGGAAGTATACTTTGAGAAGCCTTTTCCCCTTATAGAATGAGATAGGACGGTTATTTTACAAAACTGACAACACTTTGACCGAGTAGTTTTTTGTGCTGAACAAAAAGTGTCATATAAACATCTGTCAAAAACCGTTTTTAACTTCACTTAAAATGCCACGTAAGCTACGTAAGAATATACGTAAGAGGAAGGGAGCATTGAAACATCCAATAGTAAAACTGACACCACAACAACAGTTGCAACAACAAATGATGAATGACCCCACTATGTTGCAACAAATGTCAAGCAACCCTATGCTTTTAAACCGAGTTATTGGTGCACAGAGTGGAGGTTTAAGAGCGGCACTTTTAGCGAAAATGGCAGGCTATGGTGGAGCTGCAGACGGAACAGCTTATAACCCTCAAAGTCAAATGAATTTGAGTTCACTCAAAAATCAAATAACAGATGTCAAAAAGTCAAACATAGACATACAGAAACAAATAAGTGAAAACGAAAAGAAACTAGAATATGACAGACACACAAAGAAACTCAATGAGTTAAACGTAGAGAAAAAGAAGAAAGAAGAACAACTGAAAGAACTAAGTACAGAGGAATATGCGAAAAAAGTGTCAGAAAAAGCAGCAGAAGTAGCAAAAATGGAACAAGATGTTATAAATTTGAAAAACCATACTACTCAATATAAAGTACTGAAAGATGAAGAGATAAAACAAAAAGCCCTGAAGACATATATGGATAGCGATGAGTATAAAAAAGAAGTTGAAGCAAATGTAAAGGCAGAAAAACTTTTACAGTTGCAAAACCAAACCGTACAGTATGAAAACTTAGCACAAGAAAGTAAAAATAACGACGCAGCCATGCAAAAGGCAATGAAAAGCGCAGAATATATAAAAGCTAATAATGACTGGTTAGATGCCCAAGCCAACGCTAAAGCAGCCCAACTTATAGGGTCAATAAGGACAAAAATACAAGCGGATGAAGACAGTTCAAATGAAGCTTTAATGAATGCTGACTTTAAGAACGCCTTCGAAGCTCTTCATAGTAAGGTGAAACTAGTGAACGACTTCTCATCTGGAAAGAAACTGAAGTCTGAAGGTTTCGACAACGAGTTAAGAGAAGTAGCACAAAATATGACGAAAATAACAGATGCAGCAACGAGACAGGCAGTTCAAAGTGCCTATGACGCCGTTAGAGCAACTGTTGTGGAAAGTCAAGAAAAAGAGTTACAACAGACCAAAACAGACCTAGTAAATGCTTTCTTAAAAACGAAAAGTCAGGTAGGACATTATGCTGCAGATGGAACATATGTGCCAGCTGGTGGAACTTATATACCACCAAACCCTCCAAGAGAAGCACCTGCACCAGGACTACCTAAAACATTTACATCGTCACATGGACACAGACACAGGCATGCACCAAAACCAACACAACACACACAACAACAGTTCAAAATCCAGCACCACAACCAACAGTTCAAAACACTGCACCACAACCAACAGTTCAAAACACTGCACCACAACCAACAGTTCAAAACACTGCACCACAACCAACAGTTCAAAACACTGCACACAACAACACAAACAGAGCAAGGACATAAAAGAAGTAGAGAACAAGGAAACCAAGAATTCTTAAAAATGCTTAAGGAAGATATGGTTACCCAGATACTCTTGACTTTAGTGACAGATATAAAGAAGCTATTAGAAAGTTCAAGGAAGGAAATACTGACCCGAACCTATTTAGCTTTATGGTTCAGCACCAAATGGGATATAATTTCAAACCTGGAAAATACAAGCTCGCTAAGGGATATGATTTAATAGCATATCATCCAAATGACATGATGAATTTACTCCGAGATATTTGGTGTCAGAGATAAATGATAATTCAACTATCTTCATGAAACGCGTAAAAAATAGAGACGGAACGAAAGAAGAAAGGTTATGAATGCGGATGACTTAAATAGGGAACTTGTTAAAAACGGTCTCGGAATATATGAAATGCCAGCAGATGAGGTACAAGAAACTCCACAGGAAGAAGTTCAGATACAACCAGACATGGAAGAAATAGTTCAGCAACAACAGCTAGAAGAGCCTGAAGGAAACGAACAAGTCCCTCCTTTGGAAACTAACTTCACAGAACTAGATGAAGATTTGGAACAGCCGAAAAATCTTGACCCTCAACAAGAGTATGCGGAGAATATGGAATCTTTCCAAGAGTCTAAGAAAAATTCGGCTGACATAGTAGAAGAATATCGAAAAATGTTCGCCGACATACAAAAGACTCCAACATCAGATGAAAATATTCAGCATAGAATGGAAGAACTGAAAGAAAGTGTACGCAAATACAACAATCCTTTTTACTTACGACCATATAACGTTCAATCTTTGGCTGAACTCGGTGAAAATAAAAGGTTAAATTTCAACAAAACATATAGAAATGAAACATTGTTTAAAGTTCATTCAGAACCTAACCAATATGGAAACAAACCTACTTTTGTTTCTGCAGACTATGGAACTACAATGAGATGGGGTCATAAAGCTAATCCGGATAGGTGGTTCATAAACTTACAACCACAATTCCAAGAAGTTGTAGACGCAATGGAAGTGAATGGTGAACCAGATATAGCTGGTATTTTCAGCGCGGCTTTAATGCCATTGAAAGATATGAAACATGCAGATATTTTGGACCAGTATGAAATGAACATGGCTGATGGAAATATAACACCTGACGTTCTAGAACATTTATCTCAAAGAACTACACAGAACCATAGAGATGGTATATTTGGTGAAGAGTTTAGAAAGAAAGTTAGGGAGATAGAAGGAAGAGAACCTATTGTACATGACCTTGCAAACGAAAGTTTACAAAATGTCATAAAAACTTACTTTGCAGACAATGAACTGAGAAGGGATGAATATTTAAGAAAACTCAAATGGACAGTACCAAATGAAATGTTAGTATTGAAAAACATGTTCCTTGACAAAATAAAACCAACTACAGAAATAAATGACGCAAGACTGAAACATTGGGTAAAAGCTTTCCCATTCACAAAAGATATTATTGGTAACATGGAAAGAAAACCAGAATGGCTACAAAAACATATATTTGGAAACGAGCTTATTCCATATGGACAAGCTCTGTTTGAAGAGCTTGAACCGGAAACTCAGGAAAGAGTCATGCAAACAATACGCGAAGACTCAAATACAAACTATGACAAAATCTTTCTAGGATATAGGTTACCTGAGATGGGCGACCAGAGCCCAAAGGCAAAAAGGACATGGGAAATTTACAACATACTAGGTGAACATGAGGCAAAGATGCAACAACTTGAAGCAGAGGGCAAGTTACCAAAAGCGACACCAAAGAAGAAGAGAAGAGTAGAACAAAGTGAAAGTAGTGAAGAAGTAACTTCATCTAGTGAAAGTAGTGGCAATGAAGGAAAAGAAAGAAGAGTTAAAAACTCAGTCAGGAAGAAAGTAAAGCTTGGTCCGAGTGGGTTCTATTATGACACATAAATCCAACTATTCTATATTTTTACCCATATGAAATGTACGCCGCTCAGAATATAACGCCAACAGTTTTGGATGCCATGAACGGAAATGTTTCCGAATGGTATAACGAATGCGACAATGCCATTAGAAGGTCAGAAATAGTTCCTGGAACTTACGAATATACAACTGCTGTTTCTTATGGAAACGTAGGTGAGTTTGGAGAAGGTTCTTCAACAACAGTAGATATTGCTTGCGACAGGTTTCATATTATTTCTATTGACAACTCATTCTTATACGTGGAACAAGACATTGAAATAAAACCTTCTGCCAAGTTGTCTGACAAGAAAGGTTGCAATGGAATTTTCTATGTCGGATACCAATATGCTCCAGAAGTTTTCATGGGATATAAGATATATTCTAACTCTGACTTAGTTCAAACAGTAACATGGGCAAACTATGAATGGTTCGCTTTGAGAAACTCAGTACAACCACAAGCTAGAGAACAAACAGACCAGTATGCAAATATTGAGAAAATAAGAAGACTTGACCCTAACGTTCCAGGAGTTTATGTTAACCTTTCTGGTTCAGAAACTGCAGCACAGTAAAGTAAAACTGAAACTTAGAGTTCCTTTGTCATCTTTCCTCATCTTCAGGTTTTTAAGATACTTGCCAAACTGGGCAGGAAAAATTTCTATCGAACTTACTCCAAGCAAAAATAACTTAGTCATTGCACCAACACAAGACCCATTCACATTACAGACGTAAAGGGAACAAATCAAACGTCATTCGCCGAATTTTGCAAAGACAAAGTTGACTTAGACTTTGGTTTCTCAAACTTCAACAATGAAGTAAACTATTATTTCAATGCTGCTGGAACTGCTTGGGACCCAGTTAAGTTCACATGCGAAAATTTGAATGCAAGAGAATAGAAAGCAGACTTGCAGTCTATATGTTGGACCCAGATATTTCAAATGCTTTAGCTGCCAAATATATTGCAGTTCCACTTATGTTCCCTATACACCAAATATCTGTCAAAGACTTTGCAGGTGAAGTTGGAAACCAAAGTGCTGACCCAGGTGCAAGAACAGATATTGCTTTAACAACTGCAATGAAACATGCAGATACTATGTTTGTACTGTTCAGACGAACTATAAATGACTATTCTTGTTTCTACAACCCCGGTATTAAATATCATATAAACATAGATGGCAAATATTATCCAAGAGAAGAATATTCTACAGTTGAGGATATGAGGTCATACAACTTGACATTAGATGCTATGAACTTTAACAACAACTTCACAACAACCATTAACCCTGAAATGCAAAGTTCTATTATGCCATATGTGAAAGTATGGACTCATACAGGAGGTCAAAAAACTCAATATACAAATGGAGACCGTTCAAACTTTTGGCTTGGCATTCCATTTGCTGACTCAGAAGACTTTATGGGTGGTATTTCAACTGTTGGTACTGTACAAATACAATATACTGGTGACAGAGACGGTCCAGATGAACTGAGAGCAAAGAAGTTTACAAAACCAATAGCACTTTTCACGGAAGATGCTCTTTTGAAGATTCGTTCGATGAAACCTGCTGGGGCTCCTCAGATTGGCATAACGACAGCTTCCATCGAGCAGATTTTGGCAGCAGGTCAGTAAGTTGTTCTTGAACTGACTTCTCTCCGTCAAATATTGACAGTACGCCAGTTTTGACATAATATTGTAAGATAAACTTACCTTTAGAAATATCTGTAAGTTTTGTTGTTATATTTTTGTCAACGTCAAGAACTTTCACCATTTCAGTTATACCAACTTTCTTTGCTTTATGAAAATATTTTGGTTCAGCAAAGACTGCTATTCTATAACATTTTCCATTGTTTGTGTAAAGAACTATTCTGTCAATGTATTTGTATTGTTTGTGTGTGTAAACTTTGTTCTGCTTCAATTCGAAGAGATACTCGAATACGTCCATCTTTTTATTCTAAGTAAAATGTCATTTCCGAAAAATAGAAGCGTAAGTGTTTCAAAAGGTTTAATGGCGGTGGCAGATGTGAAGTTAAATTCACCAACTCAAACAAACAGTCAAAGTGTTGTTGTCAATGTCAAAGACAGAGATGTTGAAGTGGGGAAACCATACGAAGACGAAGATGGTATAACAATTGTTCCTGTAAAAGAACAACCAACATATCCTGAAGTTAGCAGAGACTTAAGTTCTGTTGCAGATATTCGAAACGACTACCAACAACTGAAAGACAAACTTCAAACTCAGGAGAAGATTTGTCAAGCTTTAGTATAATGTTAAACTTGGTCGAACACAACCCTGTAAAAGTGAACTCATATGTCATTGCACCTCATGAAGTTTTGAAAGAACTATTGAAACTTTTGACAGAGGCAGACGATATAAACATCAAAGAAATAGAACCCGACATTAGTTGCTGTGGTGTTTCATATAATGTCATTGACAAGATATACGTTATGAAAGGAGGTGAAACGTTGAACTTAAAGTATAGTTTCCCAGACGTCATAAAAATATTTGACGACCACAACATTTCATTAAAATTTATTTGCTAAGTAAATGGCAGAAGATATAATGGTTTATACTATTACGACTAAAAACCCTGAGTCATATAATTCTATAACAACAAACTTACAAAGTCCTCAAGGACGATATTGTAAACTAACCTTAAACACAATGACGACTAAAGCCTGTTTTGCTCTTTTGACACCAGAAGACTTTATTGTTGTGAATGGTAAAAAATACTCCTTTGAAGATACTTACTCAGATATACCACCAACAGGTTTTGTTGACTTATTTAATACTTTAAGTACGGGTGTAACATGTGCTGCAACTAGAGCAGGTTTCATTATGTTTGGATGTCCGACTGAGTTTACTATAAACGATATGAGCTATAATACAAAACTTATTTCTGGTTTTTACTACCAACAGTTTCCTATAACAGGAAAAGGTGTCATACAAGGAATGTCTATTCCATTGACATTAAGCACACCAATCTTATATATTGTTTCAAACTTAGGTTCAAAGTGTTATTCGAATGTCGACAGAAACTATTATGACCAAAAGATACTTATGCGTATAAACAATACTTTCTCTGCTGGTTTGCCTATTGTTCATTCGAATGCAGAATTTTCAACCTTAGTGAACTCAAACACTTTGGCAAGTATAACGTTGACATTAGTTGACGCAAACTTTGTTCCTGTAAAACTTTTATGTCCTATGTATTTGTCAATGACGGCAGAAAGTTTCGAATTGGAAGATGCAACTGGTGAAAGTATTGTATTACAAGAACAACTTCAACAACAAATAGCTCAAGAACAACAAATGCAACAAATGGAACAACAAAGTCAAGAATAAAAAAAATATTTTTTTTTATTTTTATAAAAATGTACAGAATAGATGTTTCAGATTTTTATGACTTCCAAGCATTCAGAAATATGTGTCCATTTCGAGACTATAACAAAGCAGTCGAGAATTTGAAACGTTTAGTCATTTATGTCGACTCTGCCCCAGAATGTTATGTCATGAAAGAATGGGATGTAGTCTTTAACAAACCTAAGAGCAACAATAGTTTCAGAACAAGAATGTAGACAGAAACTTAAGAAAATAAAAGTCGTACAAGTTGGCATGAAGATGTTAGATGCTTGGGATATCTTATTGTCAAAGTTAGAAGATTTTTCAGTTCGAGGTATAAAGTTCTATACACCTTCTCCAAACTTCTATTCTATCTTCACTGGATATAAATACGAACAAGTAGAATGGAAAGAAAATATTATAGAAGCTTGGTTAGACCATGTCAAAGAAATTATATGCAATGGAAACGAAAGAGTCTATGAGTATATCTTATGTTGGTTTGCAAACATCTTACAACATCCAAGTGCTAAAAATGAAACTGCTCTCATTATAATTGGAAAACAAGGAACTGGTAAGAACACTTTCTTTACAGATATCTTATGCAAACTGTTAGAAGGTATTCGAACCCGAATATGACAAACTTAGAAAACATCTGTGGCAAGTTTAACTCCTCAATAGAGAATATGAAACTTATAGTTTGCAATGAACTTCAAAGTATAGATACAACAAAAGTTTTGAACTCAGATGCTTTGAAGAGTCTTATAACAGACAAAGTTGGAGTTGTTGAAAGAAAGTATAAAGACCAAAGAGTTTGTGAAAATGTTGCAAACTTCATTATGGTTTCAAACAATGCTGTTCCGATGAAGTTAGAAAGTTCTGACAGAAGATATGTAGTTGTCAGAACGTCAGATTCTCATATGCAAGATACAGAATATTTTGACGACTTAGCAGAAACTTTGACATCTGACTTTTACAACCACTTGTTCTCATATTTTATGACATTAGATATTTCAAAGTTCAATCCAAGACAAATTCCACATACCGAAGAGAGACAAACATTGTTAGAAGCAAACAAGAGTGTATATGAACTGTTCATAGATGAAACTGACTTTGAGTGTTTAGATGAAAGGTCATTGTACGATTCGTATAAACAATATTGTCAAGAATATGGTTATATGACAGCGTCTAAACGAACATTCTTGGCAAATGTCAAAAGTCTTTTAGACGTACAGAATGGTGTATATACAAAGAAAAATTTTTCTGAGTAAATTTTAAAAAAAATATTTTTTTATCCGATAGAAAAGATGGCAAAATTCATCTCAGTAAACAAGTACATGTCAGGACTTAAAGAAGAACTAGACCCATTCACATATTTGAATGTTTACTTCTACCATTTTGAAAAGTCTTCATTCAGCAAAGTTTGGAACATCGAACCAGTTAAGTTTGCTATTGTGACTAAAAATGGTGCGAAATTTGAAGACTTAGACATAGAAGGTTTGTTAGCAGTCAAAGAAAATTTTGACAGAAAGTTCTCAAAACTCGAAGAAGGCAAAGCATACAAACTTGTTATACCTTATGAACCAAAGAAAGCAGACGACTATGAATATTATGAGTCTAAGATAGTTGAAGTTCAAGGTAAATTGGGTAAAAAGATTTTAGAGTCTAAGCCAGTGTTTGCTCCTAAAGAGGAAGAGAACATTGACATTGACCCAGAAATGTTCTAAAAATAAAATTTTATTTTTACATGTCAAATTTCTTTTTCTCTGGAACTGGTTCAGGTTCTTTCTTCTCTTCTTCTACTTTCTTTTCTTTCTTTTCTTTCTCTTCTTCTTTTCTGGTGGAGTTATGTCAAATTTGGCGCAACCATATTTATGTAAAAGTTCTTTGTCCTTTAATAGCTCATCTATTCTGTTTTCTATTTCATCTTCAAGAACAGCGCATGTGTCTTCTTTGCATTCTAAGAACTTTTGTTGGACTTCATCTTTCCAAGGCGTCATCTCTGTCAACAAGTCTGTCATTGACAAATTTTAAGACTGCTCTGCTTAATGTTTTATGGTTCTTGTCATATTCCCAGAAACAGAACTTTAGAACAAATTCACCTTTCTTGTTTACACTATGTAAGATTTTATGGTCGACAGATGTTTTGCTGTCGAAAAGCTTGTCTCGAATATAGATAGCGAAATCGCTAGACATTTTCTAAAAGATAAAAATTTTAATTTTTCTAAAAATATGTTAGAAAAAAAGTTTGCTGACATTGACAAAAATTTGAGAATGTTTTAAACAAGAACAAGAGGAAGTTAGAAAATGCTCAGATAAAGCCTATACATGACAAGTTCTTATTTGCTCAGAATGGTATAACAGGTCTAATTGCACCACCTGGGTCGGGTAAGACTTTCACTTATCTTAAAATGGCTGCACAACAACAAGAACTAGATGAGAAGAACCCATTCTATGAGTTAGTTGTTATTTGTAGTACTTCTGGTCAATTTGACCAAACCGTCAATTCGTTCAAAGATATTATAAAGAAGTCTAAGTTAGTATGTATAAAGGATACTGAGTTGTTAGATTGGATAAAGAAGTACCAAAGAAGAGTTTTGAAGTATAATGCTATAAATGAGTATATAAATTCTAAGTTTAAAGACCCAAATGAGGAAATGCAGAGAATATTAGAGAAGAAACACTTCAGAAACAAACAGAAAGAGATAGAATACATTTCGAAGAAATTGCAATCTTACGATTGGAAGACTTACCCTCATAGATGTCTTCTTATCTTAGATGACTTTGCTTCTCATCCTTTGTTAAAGAACAGAGAACAAGATATGTGTCGAATTCTTAAGAAGCTCAGACACTTTAACATCTCAGTTGTCATTTGTGTACAGACAGCAAAGAGTTTAAGTAAGGATTAAAAGAATACTTACTGACATATACTTTTCCCCGGATTGTCCGAAGACGATTTCATGGAACTTATGAAAGAGTCCATGGCAGGTAAGTTTGACAGACATGAACTATGGGAGAAGTACAAAGTCATACAAGACCCTCATACTTCTTTCAGAATTCATATCTACGCAAACAAAGTTCAAATTGTAAAAAGTCAAGCTTGAAAAATAAAGAGTTCATTTACTCTGCTTGTTTGAAGTTGTCAAAATACTCTGTTATTTTTTCCTTTAACAATGGCAAATCTTCTTTGAAGGTAAGTATTGTACAACCTTTCATATCATAGTGTGTTTGAGGTAACGTATCTTGAACTATTGTTTCACATCTTCATTTGGGGTCATTGAAATCGGTAAGTTTTCGCGATAGAACCAATTTCTGTCAGATTTGTAAATCTTAGCAAGGTCGTAAAAGCTTTTGTTGTTTCTTCTGACTAAATGCAACATAACCATATCTCTATCTTCTTCATTTCCATCTCTTCAGTATAAATCATATACTTATAGTTCTTTTCCTTTCCTTTTGGTACCGAACGTGGTATTCTTTTCTGAATGCTTTTGTCTTTTGCTTCAAGCTTGTTCTCTAGCTCTTCACGTTCTTGTCTATGAATTTCGTCAAGAAGTCTGTAAATATACCAAGCATAACGAGGCGAAGCCCACATTGCAACAGCATTTACAAGAAGTCTATGTACATAATATCCTCATTAAATTATTGGCAAATTTT